TCCCTACCCCTAGCATAGAGGATAGGAAGGCTCACTTAAAAAAAAGGTCACATTTGAGCCGATTTTTAAAAAATATTAAGTTACCAGTGTTTAAGAATGGACACTAAAAGTAGAAGAAACAACATGTGCAAAAGCACAGATGCAGGAAGGAACTCAAGGAATGTTCTAGGAATGAAAAATAGTTGAGGACAGATGGAATACGGGGAGGAAATGGCAGATGGTAGAACAGGAAAAGCAGGTTGAAGGCAAATAATGAAGGGTGTCATACTATAAATCACGCTAAGAGATGTGAATACCTCTTGTAAGCTGCGGAGAGCTGCAAATTATTTTTAAGTAGGAAATGACATGACTAAATCTGTGTTTTTGGAAGAGAAAACTGATGACAAGTGGAGGATTAGAGGGAGTTTGAGGATGAGGAGAACCAGTCGAGAGGCTTTAACTACTATCCTAAAATGGAACCCATGCCATGAGGTGGCAAATATAGGGAAGAGAAGAGAAGAGGCCTTTGAAAGATATTTCAGAGATAGGACAAAGACCCAGCAGCCTTGATAACCGACTAAACATGGGATGTGAGGGTGATAGAAGCTTTGTGGGAGGATTGGGTTCAGCGCCAAGAATTCTACATTGGGGTTCTAGATGAATTCTAGAATAACGGCAAAGATATGAATTAAGGAAGAAAAGCAGAAGAGTAGACTGGAGAGGAGTCTTTTCTGTAGACACCTGTGGACTATCCAGTGGAAGAGTCCCAGGAGGCAGATAAAAATGCGAATCTGAATGTTGTTGAGGGAAAGGTCATGGGAGCAGGAGATAAATACCTGAGGAGTCCTCATAACTCACAGTTAGAGGGAGAGAGACAGCCCGAGACACAAAAGTGAATGTGAACACAGGCCATTCAGGGAAAAGATGAAGATGGAGAAGAGAAAAGGCTAACAAATGGCAGAATCACAAGGGATATTGATTGATTTTAGAGGCAAAAGAAAGAAGTAGCAGCAAATCACAGCAACCCTCCTTTCAGATGGGAGAGGAAAAGATATTTCAGTAAGTACGGATTACAAATTAAGGAAAAGTAGATTCCTATCCATTTTGCCACATTCTTTCTTTCTTTTTAATATATTTTTTAAATATATTTTTTATTTTAATATATTTTATTGACTTTTTACAGAGAGGAAGAGAGAGGGATAGAAAGCTAGAAACATCAATGAGAGAGAAACATCGATCAGCTGCCTCCTGCACACCCCCCACCAGGGATGTGCCCACAACTAATGTACATGGCCCTTGACCGAAATTGAACCCGGGACCCTTCAGTCTGCAGGTCGATGCTCTATCCACTGAGCCAAACCAGTTTTGGCTTGGCACATTCTTTTTTCTAGCCAAGTCATCACAAGGCTATTCCCTAGGGCCCACTCTAGAGGGACCCTGGGGACAAAATCAGTGTTGGGGAGAGACAGCCACTTGAGTGATAGCATCTATGTCCATGTATCTTATTTTTAAAAAAAAACACTTTTTCAAATTCCCTCTCTGGCACTTGCTACAGCAAAGAAAATCTCCACTATTTATACCTAAGAGCTCTTGTTTGAATATGCTTATTGCATCTTCTAAACAGCCTTTATATATTTCACTAACTAAAGAGATTTTTATTTTATTTTTAAATATATTTTTATTGATTTCTGAGAAGAAGGGAGAGGGAGCAAGAGATAGAAACATCAATGATGAGAAGAATAATTGATTGGCTGCCTCTTGCATGCCCCCACTGGGGATCAAGCTTGAAACCCAGGCATGTACCTTGACTGGGAATTGAACCCTGACTTCCTGGTTTCTAGGTCAATGCTCAACCACTGAGCCATGCCAGTCAAGCTAATATGTTTTTAAAAATAACCCCAAGGTAGACAGAAATTTCATAAATAGATCACAAAAAGCAATAGCTATAAAGGAAAAAACTGATAATTGAACTTCATTAAAAATCATTAAAAGATCCCTGGACGGTGTGGCTCAGTATGAGAGTGTTGTTCCATACACCAAAAGGTCACAGATTCGATTCCCTGTCAGGGAACATTCCCAGGTTGTGCGTTTGATCCTTAGTCAGGGTATATCTGAGAGGCAACTGATCGATGTTTTTTCTCTCACGTCGACGTTTCTTTCTCTCCATCTCCCTCTTTCTCTAAAATCAATTTTTAAAAAATTGGGTGAGGATTTTAAAATAATCATCCAAAGATACCATGAAGACAGTGAAAAGGCAAACCACATTCTGGGGAAATATTTGTAATACATATATTTAAACATAAACTCATATGTCGGATATAAAAGAACTCTTGACAAAGAAATTTAAAACAACAACAACAAATAATTCAATTTAAAAATGGACAAGATTTTAACAGGAATTTGACAAGATATCCAAATGGTAATACGTTTATGAAATGACACTGAACAATATTACTTACCAGGAAACAAATTGTTTCTGGTCGAACTCCTGGTTGAGGGACCAATTTGCATATTAGCCTTTTGTTCTATAGGATATACACTGAGTGGCCAGATTATGTGTTCAGAGGTCCTCATAATCTGGCCACTCAGTGTATATATAATGGAGGTACACACATATAAAAAATACATTTTCAATTAATGCATTTTACACTTTATTTGTAAGGTATGTTACCTTAAAAATATAGTATGTTATCTTAAAAATAAAATATCTCTAAAGCACTTAATGCCTTTATAACGAGAATGCTATAATTCAAAAAAAGGAATAAGCCTGGCTGGTGTTGCTCAGTGGTTGAATGTTGACCCATGATATAGGAAGTCACCACTTTTTGGTTTTTATTAATATATGTTTTTTATTGTTGACAACATTGCAGGTATCTCCCATTTACCCCCTTTACTCCCTTCTGCCCAGCCCCTACCTTCCCCTCAAGTCTTCACCAACCTACTGCCTGTGTCCACGGGCTATGCATAGAAGTATGTAAGTTCTTTGCTTTATCTCTCCTTGTCTCCTTACCCTCACATCGAGGTATGTCAGTCTGTTCCCCTTGGATTCCTGGTCAGGACACATGCCCGGGTTGCAGGCTCAATGCCCAGTAGGGGGCATGCAGGAGGCAGCTGATCAGTGATTCTCTCTCATCATTGATGTTTCTATTTCCCCTTCCCCTTCCTCTCTCTGAAATCCATAAAGAAAAAATATCTTTAAAAAAAGGAATAAAATCTCAGCTGTGCTTTTTTCCTTTCTGACTTAGAAGATTAGAGCTTATTCCTTTTATTAATAGACACATTGGGTGGTGATCAGTTACTTCCCAGTTTCCTGAGTCAGGTAATGTATCTAAGGTCCATGCAGTGCAAACTTACATGTTCCTAAGTGTTCGCTAGCTTTCCTGAAATCACTTCATATCCATGGGATTTTATTTTATTTTTGTAAAAAAGTGATCTGGGCTTGACAGCCGATGTCCATCTTTTGTTTTGTTTTGTTTTGTTGTAATATATGTTTATTAATTTCAGAGGAAGGGAAAAGGAGAGAGAAAAACATCAATGATGAGAGAGAATCATGGATTGGCTGCCTCCTGCACACCCCACACTGGGGATTGAGCCCGCAACCTGGGCCTGTGTCCTGACCCGGAATCAAAACGTGACCTCTTGGTTCATAGATCAAGGCTCAACCACTGAGCCATGCCAGCCGGGCCATGTGCTTTTTACAGTAAGAATCTTTGTCTTTAGTTGAGTCTATCCTTCCAGAGCTCTCCATTTGCTTTCTATGGGTTAAATGTCTAATCTGATATTTTTAAGCTTCAAGAATGGCATCTGATTTTGTTTTACACCCTCACTGACAGGGGCTAAAAAAAAATCCCTCTTCAGCTGGAAAGGCAGAATGTCAAAAATCGCAAGATATCATCGCATTCTGGCAGCATGAGGAACATTTACACCCCCTCAGGAAAGAGAAAGCTTCATTCTCTCTAACAGCCATTTTGATGCCTGATCCTTTTACAGCCAACCTAATAACTGCAGCCTCCTTGTGAGAGCGCCATGACCCACCATTTTAAGGAAAAAAACAAAAATCCACAAAGGTGAACATTTTCCCCTTCTGGCTTCTTCTACCATTCACAACACTGTGCTACTCCATTGTTGAAAAGGGGCCTTAATATTATCATAATCATTTTGTATGGTGACACGTAGTTACTAGATTTATTCTGGTGATTACATTATAAGGGCTATAAACACTGAATCGCTATGTTGTACACCTGAAAATGTATATATTATATGTCAACTCTACTTTAATAAAAAAGGGGGCCTTAATATGCAAAATATTGCATTTTAATGATAATGAAAGGCAAACTCTTTTTAACTGTCTTATAATGAAAAAAAATTTTGACCTTGATTGTCTTTGAGCTCAGATTAAACCTGTCGTTAGTTCAATCAAGTGAGTGAATATGAAGGTATATCTTACATGTTGGGCTTAGAAAAGCATCAAGGTAGGAGGAGAGAAATGATGACGTGGTTAAAAACAGAAGAGCTGGTTGCAAAGAACCTGGTTTAAAATAATATCTAATGCATTGGTGTTTCGCTATTCTGATAAGTGAGATATCAAGTCAACAATGAGATGCAGATTTTATAAAAAGCAAGTACCTGTCACCTTGGCTCAACAGGATGACTCTGTTAATTGTTACCCAAATGAAATTCTTCAGAACAATTGCAGTTTTATACAGCTTCAGGAAAAGTGTTCTTTTTTAAAAAAAAAATATATTTGTCTTTAACAAAATCTTTATTATTGAACGTATTACATAGATCCTCTTTTCCCCCATGAACATCTTCTAGCCCGCTCCTGTCCCCCCCCCCCCCCCCCAGGCCTTCACCACCCCATTGTCTGTGTCCACAGGTCATGCATATATGCATACAAGTTCATTGGTTGATCTCAGGAAAAGTGTTCTTAAAAACAAGTATCAAGCAACAACTGGTTAAATGCAAAGGCACGTGGTCACAAACAGCACTTCTCTTTTAGAAAAGTAAAAAATATGCAGTAGTGAGATGCAGCATTTTTACTTAAATGCATTGTCTGAAGTAGAATAAACTTGTTTTCTCCTGTGAGACCACCTCAAAGCGCTTCACTTCATTAACGTCTATAAAAATGTCAAGCTAGTGGAATGCAATAATTATAAAACCAGATAGGTGGCTTAATTGTCTTACATACCTGTGGTTTTTTTCAGATCCCCGTGCTTGCTTCCTTGCGTACATGCGGTCTTATTTTGCAGAAACCACTTCTAGAAGCTCCCATTTTGGCTTCCACACCGCCACCTGTAGACATAAAAGGGAAATGCACAATGTATTCTTCATCAACCAGGCACCTTTCCTAGGCATCTAACAGGGACAGTTGCGGGGAAAGTGGCAAAATATTGGCTCCAGGAAATAAAAGTGCTCTTTCTACTGTGTGGGAGATTTGTAAGACCCTCTCCCCGAATGTATTGATAAATTATTTAGAAATCAAAGCATGTATGTCTCAGATCCACACTACTCTGATCAGTTCATTAGAATAAGAGATGGAGCCATAGAACCCACCCCACATGCCAACCTACCACCATTTTAAGACCTAGCCCTTAAAATTAGAGCATAGCTTCACCATTTTGTTAATCCGGTCATCAAAAATTCTGTAAATTGCCACAAAGAAAAGAGAGGGAGAGATCTAGGAAAAGGTTACTTTGTCACATGGTTGTAAAATGTCTGTTTAAAATAATAATATTAATTCTAACATGAACTAGAGCTTTGGCCAATACAAACAGCAGTTCGGTAGGGTATTTACTGCTGTATTCCTAGTTTGAATGTGAATGGATGCTGAAAAGGTCTTTCGGACACCCCACAGATTTTAATACAGATAGGTCTTACAGATAGGTTTTTTTTTTCTTTAAAAAAAAGTCACATGAATAAAAATCCATGAGCATAACAAGCAATTAATAAAGACCCATAAGCAACTATTAGTGAGTCAAAGCAGCCATGAAATGAGATCTGTAAAAGGATTGAGAGGAATGAGAGATTGAGAGAGATGAGACTAAGAAAGAGACAGGAGATTGGGAGAGACAAGAGAGATTGAGAGATAGAGATGAGAAACTGAGAAAGAGATACATAAGGTTGAGAGACAAGAGAGACTAAGAGAGACCAAAGAGATTGAGAGGGAGAGACTAGAGAGAGATTGAGAGAGGGGGAGAGAGAGAGAGAGAGAGAGAGAGAGAGAGAGAGAGAGAGAGAGATGAAAGAAAGATCTCTGGAGTTAATTTAGAATAACAGACCCAACCATGGTGTGTGTGTGTGTGTGTGTGTGGTGAGTGTGTGTGTGTGTGTGTGTGTGAGTGTGTGGGTGTGCTTGAGAAATGGGAGAGAAAGAGGGATAGAAAGAAAAAGAGGCAATCAGACCACAGCAGGGTTCATGTGTGCACATGTGAGCGTGCATGTGTGTGCGTGTATAGAGAGAAATAGAGAACAGAGAGAGACTGAGATTCTGAAGTTCACTGAGAATAACAGACAGCTCTACAGTTTTTTGCCTCCTTCACGTCCCACCGTCTACCCGAGACAAGTGCCCACTTCAGCACCTGAAGCCAAACACATGCGCCAGCCACGGAGCACTCCCCCCCACCACCCCCTGGGTGAATCTCAGAAGCTGCATGGAGGCATACCCACCAAGCCCGCTCCCCCAAACCCCGGGGGGAGGCGGCATATCCACCCGAGATCCGTCCCCACTTACCAGCAATTTACTTTGCCGCCTTCACTGCTTTGGCTTAAGGAACTGCAGCAAATCCAAAACCAAGCCTCCTGCAGCAGTCCTTCTCCCCCTAGGACAGACATTCACACCCTCACACTCCTTCCTGCCCAGCCTGGGCCGCCCCAAAAGGCTTTCTTGGGGGGGGATCCACCAGGGACCAAGCCTCTTCCCACGTGTCTCCCTTACAGCCTCGTCTGGATGTGCAGAGGGAGCCAAGTGCATGTGCAGAGTCCGCCTGCGGGGTCATTTCAGCAACCCCATCCCCCCTTACTCCCAGCCTTCCCCCCCCCCCCTACACCCCTCACTCTGGCCCTGAGGGCGCCAGGGAGCATGGGCTCAGGCATCGCCCGGGGAGACAATACTCCAGTAACTCCTGCTTCCTCCCGCCCCAGCTCATCCCGCCACCACTATCTCCCCCCTACTCTCCTCCCCGCCCCCCCGCACCCCGTGCCTGTAGTCCAGGGGGCAGAGCAGAGGGCGTCCTGGTGGTCGCTGGGTGTGATCCAGGTCCCTCAAAGCTGCTCCCGTACTCAGCACATCCGAGAGGGCGGAGAGGGGACCGAGGGGGAGAATCCCCGGGAGGCAGCCTACCCGCACCCCTTCCCCACCTGGCACAGCTAGAGTGCAGATTGGGCACCCTCAGGGGCCGTGCACCTTCCCCCGCCCCCAGACTTGCTGAGCCCCGCTCCCCAGAATCAATGGCCCAGAAGGGGGGGGGGCATCTGGCCCCGTGGCAGCCCAGGATGGGTCTGGGCGCCTCCCCCGAGGTGCCCACCTGCGCAGGGTGCTTCTGCAGCCGGCGTGTCCTCAGTTCGGCACATCACTGCTGCAGGGGGTGCTGGTGGAACCCTAAGTCCCAGCGCCTGCCTCCTGGCTCCCCGAGGGTGAACCTGCCACCCAGCCCGCATTCTGCCACCTCAACTCTGCCCGTCGGAGCTTAAAGCGGCCTCCCGCCCCTTTCCCGCCCCCCACGCAGCGCTCCGCCTCCTGCCCGCCCCCTCCCCCCCTGCCCCTGCCCAGCGGGGGGCCCCCGCCTGGTGCCGCAGATACCCAGTCCCTGGCTTCTGTGTGTGTGTTGCGGGGGGGGGGCGTTGCAGATGGTGAGGTGTGGGGGGGGACCCGGCACCTAACCTGCTCTCCTGTCCCTCCACCAGCAGCTGCTGTGGGCACTCACCGGGAGCCAAGGGTGTGGGCACCGCGTGCTCTGCCCCAGCTCTGCCAGCCTCTGCACCCCGCTGGGCACCTTCTCCCGCGGCCCAGGGGCGCCTCCGGGCTGGGAAGGCAGGGGTGGCGATGCGGGGTGCACTGAGCAGGAATGAGGAGGCGCAGAGATCGGCATGTCAACTGCTGGGCTTGCAAGTTGCTGCTTGCACCCGCCTGGCTGCTGTGCATCGCATACCTGCGTGTGCTCTCCCCGTTAACTGGCTGAGGGGCCTTTTAAAAAATCTGATGTTGGTTACTTTATGTGATGGTCACATTCCCAATTTAAAAAAAATTAACAAAATGTAAAGTCGAGAACAGCTGTGTTTTCCAGAAACAAATCTAGTGTGCGTGCCTTAAGGAAACCCTTTAATTATATTAATTGGATTTGTTTTCAAGTGCATGTGGGGTCTTTCTTAAGAAAACGGGGTAAGAATTTGGGGCTAGACACCCGTAAGTTTTCATTTGGCTCTGACCATCGTTCTGAAGTGTCAATTTCATGAAAATGATTAAATATGGTTAGGTAGAGAAATAGATCCTGGTTCTTCCTTGTTGGCGATATTCTTCTATCTGGTGAAAAGCAGATTTTTTAAAAGCCAAGAAACAATGAAATTCTCACTCATTTTCCAGCGATAGCATATCTGATCTGCAAGTTTTTGGTAGTGTTTTTCTTTTTGAGGCAAACTTCCTTTCTGCTTGTTTTTGTTTCTTCAAAATTTCTCCCTAAATATAAAGAAAGTGATAGATGCCATGTTTTGTTTTGTTTCCTTAAAAAGATAGGAAAATTATTATAGCTGATTATCACAATTCACCCAAGGCTCCTTATACTAAATTTCACATTGATTAGCCCTGTTTTCCAATTCTGCTTTTCATAAGTTAACCTAACACTTGAGAACCAAGAAGTTTTTTTGTTTCATCTCTATAAGAATGAAATGTGTACTTTTTAATTAACATTTTGAACCAAAGTTAGTCATTCAATTGGCTAACGGAAGTATATTCGTAGTGTATTCGGTGCTGAGTACATGGGGACAGCGTGGATGATGAAAAGCATTCCCAAAAAGAGGTTCTGAAGCAAATAAGACAGTCTTTAGAAAAACCAGTGATCCCCTTTACAGGCTGGGATGACAAATACAGGTAATTATGCAGAGAAGGACTGCTGCCTCTCTCTGCTTTGGTTTTGTGGCTGGGCCCGCATTTATCTCTCTCAATCATCATCATAAAAGCAAAGTCATTCAGCATTCCGGTGACTTGACTTTATAAATTAGCAATTTAAAAATGCTTTTATTACAGAATTAATCCAAGTAGATGCTTCCTATAAATCCGATTTTACTCTTTCATTGTGTGTGTGTGTGTGTGTGTGTGTGTGTGTGTGTGTTCCTGTTCCTGAGAAACATCCATGAAATAACAACAGCCAAGGCAAACTCAAGTGTCATTGCCAGGCAGAGTCTTTCAGCAGAGTTGATATTAAGTGACCTTTGGGTCTTAAATTATATATCAGATATTGGTTATGCATTGCTCATTGGCTGTTTCTTTAATGAGTTCCTGTGTGTTTGCTTTGCCTTGCTCATTTTCCAGAAGTGCATTTTATTTCTTTTAGTCTGCCTATTGAATCTACCTTCGCCTAAACTATTTTTATTGAACCGCCACCAAAGAATCAGACCTGAATCTATAGCTCACTTGACAATCATCTTTGTCCTTCAAGTTAATTCTCCCTTGTGGTCTTTGGTAAGAATCCAGCATAATCAAACATCCAAAATTCACCATCAGTCATGGTTCTAACTAAGAGATAAGAATCAAATTTCTCAAAACCAAGAGGGTGTGTCTTATTTGAATAAAAAGAAAAAAGAAAACCAGCAAATCCATTTTTTTCAGGTCAAAACTAAGACAACAAAATCACAATTGAGATCCTTTCTAAACCTGAAACATGCTAAGAGATACATAAAAACTCAGTCTAAATAACTTTATCTGTATTTTCTTTTACCACTACAAATCCCTTGTTCCACTGACCAAACACCATTCGATTTCACATTTTCCTTTCAGTTCCTGTACTATAGAGAATTTTCCAGTGGTCTTTAAATAAGAAATAAGACACTCCTTTGTCTCTCCAATGCATTCTTTGTCACCTACTATTTGTTTTCAAAAGCTTTTTTTTTTTTTTTTTTAATATCTCACATTGATAAGGACAGATGTGAGCATCCCATGTAGACCCGTGGAAAGGGAGTTCCCAATGACTGGTCCAAATTCAAAACAGTGAGGTTAAAGCAAAATGTGACTTTGTTGTAACAGCTTCATTGTATCAGCATCTTCCATCCTGATCCTTGCCCCAACATAGTTTTGTAACTCATTACCAAAATCTTGAGAAATGTTCTCCTGGCAATTATTTTAATAATTTTAATTCATTTACTCTTTGGGCTGTTTTACAACACACAATGAGCCTAAACACAGTGCATATATTTTTCTTTGTATGAAAACAGAATTACAGACCTGGAGATGATGTAAGGGGGAAGGGGAAATGACAGGACAGCTCTTTTGCCAAAGTTTCCTCCTCTGGCTGTGTGAAAAGCATGAACTACGATTCTTCATTTTAGTTGATTGTGATTAGTGAGCAACATCATTGATTCAAATGTGCAGAGTAACAATTCCTTAATTGGTTTCCTTGTACTAGTTATCTCACAAGACAATGGCGATAGAGACAATACCATCCATATAGTGCTCAGATTGAAATGTTGATTCTCTACGCTAAATTATTTATATGTGTGTGTTGATATATGATTCAAAGATAAATATAAATATGAATACTTGTAATAATAGACCCTTCAGTTACAAAGCCCTTGGTAAGCTCTCGCTTAGGTTTTTGGGTATGTGATAAACTGATGAATACCTCAATATTTACCTTACTCACAGGAAAGGACTTTTTTTTATCCAGATCTTCCAGCACCAAATATTAACCATATCATTTGATGAAAGGGAGAGAGAGAAAGAGAGAGAGGGAGAGAAAAGGAGGAAGGAAGAAAGGAAGGAAGGAAGGAAGGAAGGAAGGAAGGAAGGAAGGAAGGAAGGAAGGAAAGAGAAGAGAAGAGAAGAGAAGAGAAGAGAAGAGAGAAGAGAAGAGAAGAGAAGAGAAGAGAAGAGAAGAGAAGAGAAGAGAAGAGAAGAGAAGAGAAGAGAAGAGAAGAGAAGAGAATACTGAGGCCTGTGTGATAGGGTGAATATAGATGTGCCTGGTTTGCTCAACTGATAAGCACATCAGGTTAGTTAGGTCATGGTTTCCTCCCTCATGGACCATTTTGTTTTGATATGTTTCCTAGCTGCCAATCAAAGGCTTATTCCTAAACATGGGCAAACATTGTTGGCCACCAGATATTGTGGGTGGAATCATGCTCTCCAAAATGATATGTTGAAGTCATAACCCATGGTATCTGTGAATGTGACCTTATTTGAAATTGAATTCTTTACTGATGCTATTAAGACAGGGTAGGCTGGGCCCTTTATCCAATGTGACTGGTGTGTTTGCTGAAAGAGAAAAAGAAATACAGACACAGAGGGAAATTGGCCACGTCAAGAGGGAGGCAGAGATTAGAGTTATGTGCCACAAGCTAAGGGATACCTGGGACTGCCAGAAGCTGGAAGAGACAAGAAAGCATCATCTCCAGGGGCCCTACCAACACCTTGGTTATAGTAATTTGTTACAGCATCCTTAAGAAATTAATACACCAGGGAATCATCAACTCCACCCAGCACAGAGTAAACATTCAAGTGCAGAATGTTTAAGAATGATAGGAAGAGTCATCTCTGTACTTGAAGGACAGCAGCAGGGTAGACTCATCCAAGAACTGGAAAGAATCTTGAGAATTTACCTAATGTAATGTCTCCTTCAAGATGGGATTTAGCTACAAGTGAGCATCATAGAATCACAGAATCTTAACATGCTGAAAGACGGAGATTTTTCTCTTTCTTGAGATTATGTGATAGTTATGTGGTGCAGGACTTTAAAAGGTGAAGTATGGGGTCTTCTGCTCACATTTTACCCTCTTCCATCAAAAATGCCCTACTAGCCCTAGCTGGTTTGGCTCACTGGATAGAGTGTTGGCCTGGGGACTGAGGGGTCCCAGGTTCGATTCTGGTCAAGGGCATGTATCTTGGTTGCGGGCACATCCCCAGTAGGGGGTGTGCAGGAGGTAGCTGATCAATGCTTCTCTCTCATCGAT